GAAGAATTTTCGTTCGGTGGAGAAATACAGTTGCGGTCATGGAAATAGAAGTGCAACTTAATACAACATTGGAATAGAAATGTTCGGTTCCTTACAGTTATAGCTTGAAAATATATACTATATATACAATTTTTGCTCAAAATGGAATGTAAGGAAGGGAAAAGAGAAAGTACCGTTAGTTTTTGCAAGTTACATGTAATTTTTAAAGATAATAAGATGCATACTGAATTGGCCGTTCATTAAAAAGTAGTGCTTGATTTGAAACGATCTATAACATGTTTTAATTTTTTTTTAAGCGATATTAGTAATTTTAATAAAGAATTAATTATTCTAATGATTAAAATGTCTTCATTGTTTTTAAGTGGGTCGGGGAAAGCATTGCTCTTCCGAAATAAGAAGTTTGATTTCTAAGCTAAAAAATGGAGGAAAAACTTACAAGGAAATTGAAGAAATTGTAGGAAATCGTGGTGGGAAGTTTAAAGCTGCAAATTTGGATGACAGATCCTGCGATATGCCAAGATGCATCCATTTTCGTCCGCAGGGTAAATAAAAAAAAATGTCTGACGATTAGTCTCGAAACACTCGAAGACGAGACAATAATTTGTTTGCCAGAAGTCCCTGAAAGGTTCCACTTTTGACCTGGAGGCACCTAGTAGCAAGAATTCAAGTTACAAATGTGCATAGAAACTGGCCCATCGAAAAGTGGGTGAATATACTTTGGACTGACGAGAGCAAGATTGTTCTATTTGGTGATACAAGGTGTAGAGAGTATGTTTGACGTCCACTTAACAAGGAGTATTGCCCACACCACACAAAGAAGAAAGTTTAACACGGTGGCCTGAGCATCATGATTTGGGCTTGTTTCTCTTATGCTGGTGTGGGTCCCGCCGTCCCATCCATATGATAAATGACATAATGGACAAAAATATGTATGTATGTCGATATTTTAAAAAACAGGATAACGATCACAAGCACATCAATGAGCACGTTAAGGCTTGATTTGCATCCGAAATGATTGACGTAATGCCTTGGCCAGCTTTAACTCGATCGAAAACCTATGGGGGGATGTCAACAGAGCTGTAGTCATTGTGAAACCATCTAGCAAATCTCAACTTTGACAAGTGGTCCAGCAAGCATGGAATGAAATTCCGGTAAAGCGTTGCCAGGACCTTACCGATTATATGCCACGCCGTTGCAACTCCGTGTTGCACAATAAAGGCTATACTACTAAGTATTAGCATATAGATATTAGCAGATCATTATTGTTGAAGATATTTTTAGGTTATAGATGAAGTTTTTCAATTTTAAGTAGCCAAAAAAGCTCTGGCGCACAAACTTTATAAACTAGTATTAAAATATCATCTGAACTATTAATAATAAATATATATATTGTTATTTTCACCATTAGGTTAAAATAAATTGTGGCTATGATTTGGTTTTTCTGCCTAACGTGATGCGCTCAAGTGCACTTCTATTTTCATGACCGCAGCTGTATACTCCACACAACTAAGTATAAGAAATTGCTTCAAAGTTCCGAAACATTATAGTGTCTTCTAGGAATTCTATGATGTTCAAGTCTTCACTTGCGAAAAATGCTTTCGAATTCGAATTAGACCTATTTCAGTTCCAAATTCTGAAACATCCTTATGAAAAAAAAAACATTCTGGCAAGCATTGGCTGGCAAATTTTATTTCGTCAGCAAAGAAAATAATTATTTTAAAATACTTTAGATTATTTTTTATTTATAAAATATATTAAACGTAGTCAGATGAGCGAATGAGCGGTCTTAGCCTCCAACGTGTACCTGAGCCTAATATTTCTAATGCGTTTGCTGCGTTTTCCTTCGCTCGTCGCACTTGCTCTGTAAGTCTCGCCTGAGCCAAAGCTCCTCTCTGATGCCCTCTAGTTTTAGTCTTTATATTTACCAGTCTAGGCCAAATGGGTTTTATTGCTTAGAAAACGATGGTCACCACTACGGAATATAATATATCTTTAAAAATCCGTACGAAAACAATTTCTCTTGTTTGATTTAACAGAGATTTTGGATTTGCCAACTTTGCAGGACAGACGAACTTGCAATACTTAAACTTATTAATGGCACGATTGATTCTGTTTCTTTTTTAAGCAATATTCAGTCTTTCACTCCTGTAAAATTTATATGAGAGTCCCATCCTATATTTGTTGCAATATGCACGACTTATTTCGACTTACCTAACCCGTTTCGAGTTTTGAGGTAGCTTTACAATTATCTGTATCACTTTTTGATTAAGCAGTCTGTCAAGAAACACTTTACACACTGAAAAATAGTTTATTTTTTTACTTTGCAGACAAAAACTAACACCTTCTGTTAAATTTTATCAATTTTTTTATGCATATTTATTGAGTCGATTGTGCTTAATTAACTGGCGCAGAAACATGCAATGAAAACGAAAAATGAAGCAAAATATAATATTACACATTCTTAACACTGTCAAGAAACTCTTTACATATTATGTTTTTTTCTTAAATATAAATAAACGGTACTTTACAGATAGGATTGCTTTTGCACGCAAGCATTTATACATTTTCTGAATGTGCGTCAAATAGTGACGTGTTTTTATACCCGTTACTCGTAGAGTAAAAGGGTATATTGTATTCGTGCAAAAGTATGTAACAGCTAGAAGGAAGCGTTTCCGACCCTATAAAGTATATATATTCTTGATCAGGATCACCTCCTGAGTTGATATAGCCATGTCCGTCTGTCCGTCTGTCTGTCCGTCTGTCTGTCCGTCTGTCTGTCCGTATGAACGCTGAGATCTCGGAAACTATAAAAGCTAGAAGATTGGCATTTTGCATGTAGATTTTAGAAGTTCCTACGCAGCGCAAGTTTGTTTCAAAATGGTGCCACGCCCCCTTTAACGCCCACAATCGCTTATATACGATTTTAAAAATTTAAATATTTCGGAAAAGTAAAAATGCAGTTTTATTGTGTTTATCAATACCTATCGAAATGTAGAAGAAATTTTTCAAATCGGACCATTAGTTAAAAAGTTATGCGTGATCAAAGTTTCTATCTCCATCTCCCTCGCACTCCCTTTACCTGAGTAACGGGTATCTGATAGTCGGGGCACCCGACTATAGCGTTCTCTCTTGTTTAAAATGAGGTGGTCCAGTTGATTTCCATTAATATTAAGCTGGATAAATATGCAGCAAAACTTGCAGAACTGTTTTCTGTTTCACGAAAAACTATTTATAATGTTCTATGTCGCACAGAAAATGGAAGCACAAATGGCTGAAGGATGTAAAATGAAAATAAACGAACAGGAAGACCACATAATCATGCGTAAAATGAACCAAAATCCCCAAATACAATGCATGCTGAGCTGAATTCTGAAGACCCTTTATTACTGACAATAAGCTAAATTTCAAATTTATCCAGGACAATAACTCAACACATAAGGAGAATAATGTGCAGTCATGGCTACTTTATAAATGTGGAAAGGTGAATGATACAGCAAACCAGAGTCCGATCTTAACACTATAGAAACTCTTTTCACAAAAAATTATATATGTTCATTTTTATACCCGTTACTCGTAGAGTAAAAGGGTATATTGTATTCGTGCAAAAGTATGTAACAGCTAGAAGGAAGCGTTTCCGACCCTATAAAGTATATATATTCTTGATCAGGGTCACTAGCCGAGTCGATATAGCCATGTCCGTCTGTCCGTCTGTCTGTCCGTCTGTCTGTCCGTCTGTCTGTCCGTCCGTATGAACGCTGAGATCTCGGAAACTATAAAAGCTAGAAGATTGGCATTTTGCATGCAGATTCTAGGAGTTCCTACGCAGCGCAAGTTTGTTTCAAACTGGTGCCACGCCCCCTTTAACGCCCACAATCGCTTATATACGATTTTAAAAATTTAAATATTTCGGAAAAGTAAAAATGCAGTTTTATTGAGTTTATCAATACCTATCGAAATGTAGAAGAAATTTTTCAAATCGGACCATCGGGAATTGGGGTAATGTTTCAATCTCCTTCCCACAATTATAAAGTAGTATTTTGCTCTTTATGTTTTGAATCATTGTCTTCCCAATCATCTACTGGTTGGCCAATCATAGTAAGACTGAAGGTATAACGTTTTTCCTCACTGTTTTGCAATAGCAGCGGTTTCTTTCGGAAAATTCTTGAACTATTTATGGCGCAGAACTGCTTGACGGACTGTTCCATGTGAAACAACTATGCCACACTCTTCCTGACGCTCCTTGGCAAGGGTTCGCATCGATATTGGCGGGTTTTTGTTCACATAGAACATTAAAAATAATTTTTTTGTGAAACTGAACACGGTTCTGCAAGTTCTCCTAGCTAGTTATCATAGAAAATCAACTACACCACCTAAAAGGTCAACCTTTTAAAAGTCATTTTACAAATTTTAAAAAGTTACTTTTTTCCACGTAAATGATAAGGAATGCAAATATAGCGTTGCTTGCAAAATAATAACAAAACATACTTGAAAATTAAAATGTGAAAAAAGTTTCTTGACAGTGTCAAAAATGTGTAATTTTATATTTTGTTTCATTTTTCGTTTTCAAAGCAGCAGTAGTTTGTTTTTGCATATAAAGTAAAGAAATTAACTTATTTTTCAGTGTGTAAGGTACTTCTTGACATACTCTGCCTATCTTCTCAGCAGTTGTAAATCGTTGCGACCGCCCACTCGATGTGACGCAAAACATGTCGCTAAATATAATGTTGACAGTATGTGTTTTCAACCTACTGAAAAAATAAAAAAAAAACGAGTTTTCAGTATAACTACAAGGGCACTAAAACTTCGGCTTACCGAAGCTAAATTTGGTCTACGTATTTTCTTTGAGTTCAATAAGGCAAGACATCCAGTGCGTACTTTAAAAGGCATTCAAGTTTATATGCAAGCAACCAACGTCGAAAGAAATTTTTGTATTTAGTGTAATCTTTTGTTAATAAACATCCTTGTTTTGTATACTAAAACATAAACTTACAGGCTCATACCTGTTGTCGGAGGGCACGCTTTGTGTCTGTTGTTGTTGTTGTGATTGCTGTTCTGGCTGGATAAGATAGTAGGCAGTCCTAAAAGCGAGGCTAGTACATCTTCTAGCGAGGCGTTGCTTAACGACCGTTCGGGCGCTATATTAATATGAGTAATGAATTACACAGGCCACCAGTTGAATTGTAGCATTAGTTTTTGAGTTTCTATCCATGTAATATGAAGTAAGGATACCAAATATAACAATTCGAAACAAATCAAAAAAAATAATGGGCACCGGTCAAATATCTAAGGACCAAGTCATTTTTTAATTCAAAAACGAAAGTGCGTTTCAATAAAATATATTAACTAAAAAATAATACAAAGGGTAGCCAAAAAAACTTAAAAATATTTTTAAATAAATAAAATCAAACAAATTTAAAAAATATTTCGTTTTATTGATGCCACAAAAAAACAAGCCTGTTTATAAGCTGTTTATATAGTCATATTAATGTATATAAATAACATATCAATAATTCATACAAAAATAATGTTCCAATATTTCTTTTAGTTTTAACTTTGTGTAATTTCTTTAAAAAGTTATTTGCATAGTCGCTATAGAAATGAATAATTTTTTTATTATGTTTATATATTGTCAAATTTCCAATTCGAAGTTTAAATAGTTTTTTGTATAGTCGCAAAAGAAATAAATAAGTTTTTTATTATATATTATATTTTGTTAAATTGCCAATTCGAAGTTTTGTTCGTGAATTTTTCTTTTTTAAAAACCAAGCCTAAAATAGAAAATTCCATTTAACTCTTTAAGTTAAGTTCATTTCGTTTAAATTTTATTAAAATTTCAATGAGAGTAATGTCATAGTTAGCTTAGGCTTTGAAAAGTATGATATAGCCATTTTTTTTAAGATTTGTGGGCCAAAGTGTTATAATTTTAAGAATAATACAATAATTAACTGATAAATTTATTGCTGATATATAATATTAACTAAACATAAAAGTAGTTTTTTTTTAAATGATTGAAAATCATATTTGCGCAAACCCACATTTACAAATCCTTGTATTGGATGATGAATTTTAAATGCGACGCTCTTTGCACCAAATGTAATCAAAATAGAGAATAAAAAGTATAAAAGTGCATTCTCATCTGTTTATATGGGTTGTGTGTTTCTTTATGGAATAGTGGAGTCGATATCTAAGTATTTTTGGTTCTAAGTATATTAGTTTGATTGTGCACACAAACCGTAACAAAAAATGTATTGATCGAGCTAACAACAACTAAGCACAAGTCGCCGATTTTATCTACTCCGGTAAGATGTCAGATATGGATGGTAGACTCACCGCCACCGCCGCCGATACGGCTGAGTCCGTTCATGCGAAGTGGCGGCTGAACTGGGGCGACTAATGGCGAAAGACTTCCGTCTAGATGCAGTTGATGCGGCTGGAATTGATGGAGCTGCTGCTGTTGGTCGCTTTCCAATTCGGAGGAGCTGTTGTCAATCACGGGTGTCTGCGGCGAGTCCAAGGGTCGTGTGCCCACAAAGCTGCTCTCCAGCCAGCACTTCCTGCAGTGAACAGATGGTAAGGGATATTGAGTTAATTAACTTTTCAATAGGGATATTTCATTACAAAGTTAGTTAAATCAATATGATACAAATTAGGAAAAATTAAATTGGTTCAAGATGTTAATGAGAAGGTGAATACTTGAGCTCTCGAGAGTTCGCTCTTTGGACTTATTGTGTTTGAAAAAAAAAACCATTCGATACTAACTTGGCAGACTATTAACTGCAAAAGCTAAATACGTCGAAAAGCCATAACTTTGGTGTTTGTAAAATTAAGAAGTTTGGATTTTCTAAGGGTTTTATTTTTAGCCAGTCAAACCTATATCCTATAGCTGCCATATAACTGATTGATCGGAAATGCATTAACTTTGGTGTTTGTTAAGAGGGTGTAGAAATTTGAGAAAAGCGAAAATTTTTTTTTTTCATAATTCGATAGTTTTGATATTCAAAAATATTTTTCAAAAATCAAATTATTCTTTAAAGTTATAGCCGTTTTAGTGACGTGTCCACTAGACCGGTTGAACGACTGGAACAATAAATGGCTGGAAGCCCGGGCTACCTTAGTATGAATAACTTTCTCTCCTTCTTTCTATAATCATTTGAAGATCATTGTATGTAGCTGGGATAGCTGATTAAGGGAATGTAATTAATACGTAATATTCTATCAGTTACGAAACTTAACGTAAAACTTTAAACGCCACTATATTTCAAGATATAATCAGTCGATTTACTTGAAATTTGGCTTGAATATTCTATTTATCTCTATCGCCGGAACCAACAAAACAAAAAAAATTTTAAATTTATAATATTTTTAAAAATTCGACAAAATGAAAAAATTAGTGAAAAAATCGACTTTTTTCTTTAAGTAATTTTTTTTTTTTTGGTGCCATAGCGACATTTGTACTCATTAAGAATCTATCATTGTTTTATTTTTCAAATAACGACAAGCATAGAAATCATGCCGACGAGGACACGGCCTCTTTTTGTTTCCTCTTCTTCAAGAACGAATAACGAATAAAAACAAATGTTTTTTTTTTTTAAATTTATTTTATGTACTCCTTTAAGTTTTATAAACAAATGATAAAAAAACGGATACTTAAAATATCTATTGTTTTTTATACCCTTGCAGAGGGTATTATAATTTCAGTCAAAAGTTTGCAACGCATTGAAGGAGACATTTCCGACCCTATAAAGTATATATATTCTTGATCAGCATCACCAGGAGAGTCGATCTAGCCATGTCCGTCTGTCCGTCCGTCTGTCCGTCCGTCTGTCCGTCCGTCTGTCCGTCCGTCTGTCCGTCCGTTCGTTTCTACGCAAAGCTAGTCCCTCAGTTTTAAAGCTATCTGCTTGAAACTTTCCCAAAAGTTGTCTTTCTATTGCAGGTAGTATATAAGTCGGAACGAGCCGGATCGGGCCACTATATCATATAGCTGCCATATAACTGAACGATCGGAAATGCCATAACTTTGGTGTTTTTAAAGTTAGGAAGTTGGGATTTTTTATGAGTATTAAGAATGCATCATATAATATAATTTACAGAATATTCTGCAAGGGTATATCAACTTCGGCTCCGCCCGAAGCTAGCTTTCCTTTCTTGTTTTTATTAATTGTTAAAAAAAGCTCAACATTCAAGCCTCTAGACTAAAAGACCCCTTAAGTTAGGAAGTTGGGATTTTCTATAAGTTTTATTTTTGGCCAATCAATTCGACCTACCGAATTTCATAAGGATCGGCCGACTATATCCTACAGCTGTCATATAACTGAACGATTGGAAAAGCCATAACTTTGGTGTTTTTAAAGTTAAGAAGTTGGGATTTTTTAAGAGTATTAAGAATGCATCATATGAATAGTTTTGGAGAATATAATTTACAGAATATTCTGCAAAGGTATATAAACATCGCCTCCCCCCGAAGTTAACTTTTCTTTCTTGTTTTTAATATTTTTTTGTTGTACTTTGGGATTTGGTAATATTTAAATACTATGGAATTACGGTTTTAATTAAAGGAAAATCGTACATCTATATTATATAGCTCCCATTAAAAAATGTAGAAATTGAAAAAATTAACAATTAAATAAAAATGTTTTTTTTTCCGTTTTTGTATTTATCAAAATATTCCTTCGAAATATAGTAATTATTTTCTACATCAAATTTACGCTTTAATTTTTGTTAGAATCGGACAACAATATCATATATATGCCATAGAAACGATGGCAAAATGAATCGCAAAATTGAAATATCTTCATGGTTTTTAGTAATCAAAAAAACTATCCAATAACATTCTATGAAATTGTGTTAAAATTAGCTTAATGTAAGTTAAAAAGGGCGTCATTCTTATTGAACTAATTTTCTACAACTAAATATAAATTTTTAGTATAAACAATGATTTTTGATTAATTTTCTGGTTAAAAAACCAATAACGAAGACGGTCTTTTGAACGTCCGTACGAAAAACAGGAAAATTTGAGATTAATTTCGATTTTTGATTGTCATCGCCTAAGCCAATTGAACTGGAAACGCAATCCCCAAAAATTTAATGGAGTGGAGGATTTGTTGGAATAATTTGAATGACTATGACTATAAACGAATATATGACGAAACACTATAAATATCGTTCCCCCCTTAGCTCTAAATGATGCTGTTCAGTTCCTGGCACAACAAGCGAGTTCAGAAATTCCGTCGGTTGATTATCGCTTTATCCTCTTTGGTCAGGCTGTCAACGGACTTTTCCGTATGCAGTTTTGAAGCTTTATGACTTTGAATTATGCTAACCAAGCTATCAACGTCCTTAGTCTTTACTTTCACTAAACTATTCCTGATTTTGTATACTTTGTGCGATTTCGGTGCAATTTGGTAATGAGTTCACCTTCGAATATTTAAATTTTTCTTAAATAATGATATAACCAATGCAACAATTTTGCTTTTGCCTAGTTATTCGACACTAAGCAATTAGTCTTGTCAACTGTAAAGAGATTAACGGTAGCTTAAACAAGAGAGAACGCTATAGTCGAGTGCCTCGACTATTAGATACCCGTTACTCAGCTAAACAACTTAATATAAATATGCCTTCTTGTAATAAATTGACTAGAAATATTAAACATACATACTTATATTGGCTAAACACATACATTCTTAAATAGTATTATGTATATTAAAGTCTAAATGTTTGCACAACACGAGTAACGGGTATGGCGAATAGCTTTTTTGAAAGGAGTTATCTTTGCCGGGCAATTGCAACTGAGTACAATGTAAATACATACATATGTATATGCTTACATAAATACACACATACGCCATTGGTTGACTCAGACCTCCAATTTGGCTAACTTATTTTGATTTGCATAGTTCTTGGGATATAGTTCGGTATTGACAAATGAAAACAAATGAAATTAGCGTTGACTCTGTTGAGCACCGTGGTCAGCTGTTCCAAAGTCATCCGTTAGATGGCGCCATAAAAGGAGGAAATGTAGGCGCTAGCCAGGCTAAAGCGTTTAATGGGTTTTTGGGCGTTAGAGTGGGCGTGGCAAACGTTTATTAGGCCAATCGATATTTATTGACGAAACAAATACATATCAATTAAAATTTTCATAATATCATCAAAACTGTGGCCACAGTTTGTGGCTTATGGGCGTCAGAGGAAACAAACATTTTGAAACAAACTTGCGCTGCGTAGGAACTCCTCAAATCTACATGCAAAATGCCAATCTTCTAGCTTTTATAGTTTCCGAGATCTTAGCGTTCATACGGACAGACAGACGGACAGACAGACGGACAGACAGACGGACATGGCTAGTTCGACTCGGCTAGTGATCCTGAACAAGAATATATATACTTTATAGGGTCGGAAACGCTTCCTTCTACCTGTTACATACTTTTGCACGAATACAATATACCCTTTTACTCTACGAGTAACGGGTATAAAAATAATGTTCATTTCGACCGCCATCCAACAAAATGGCAGCAATGCCAGAGAATATGCATGAGGTTTATACATATGTACATACATTGTAATGCTGACATACCTGTTGATGCAGTGTCTACTATGTATTAAAGATTATAGCTAAATCATCAGAAAAAACTTAATTTTAAAAAAAATTTTATGGGGCTTTTACACAGAGACCAAATTTTTGTTTATCAAAAAATTAGGACATCAATGATTTCTTAATTCATATTTTTTACTAAAAATTATCTTAGACAGCTAGCATGCAGTTTTTTTTAAATGTTGTTAGGTTATGAATTTTGTCAGGTAAAAACTAAAGGTTAAAAAACATGAACTCTCCCCGAAATTTTCTATCCAACATCATACACCGATGATCTTATGTGAATGGTTCTGGGTTAGTTACAAATGTTAGCTACCAGGAGGAGAACACTTAACATTAAACAGAAGTCTTACCTCAATATGAAATGGTGGACATTTTTTTATTTGGTTTTTGAGGCTGCTAACTGTGGTGCTTTCTGAGGTTAAGACCTTTACAAGTAGCTACGTATTGTGTCAAAAAAAAAAATTATAATGGGGAATATAATTGGATCGATCTTGATGGGGTATGAATCGATGGAGCACGCAGGAACTCCACCTTTCCACTGGGAGAAGGAGGAAAAAATAAAGCGCGGACGTAGACTTTGCCATTCGTCACCGAAAAATTCATCACTGGTGATGATTTATCAATGAATTTTAATACAAAAAGTAAGATTGATATGTCAAAGTTCAATGATTGAACATTGATCTCCTTTTTTACGTTTGTTCGATTGTCGACATACGTGATGAATTTAGTCAGTAATGAATTGCAGGGCAGCAAAATAATCCTGAAACTATTGTTTAATTTTTTGAAACTAGCTACAAGCCGTGCTTACCTTGAATTTGGACTAGCTGAGCGACTGCGTTGATCTTGGGACTGCTGCTGGTCATTTACGTAGTGAACAATGGCGGATGTAACTTCCTTTATGGAGCTCTGAACCTCAGCCGTTTCAGACTGTAGGGGTCGCGTTCCATTGGGCGTAGACGTTGGGGATGGGGTTGTGCGATGTGCCAGCAGCGAAATGGCCAGACTGAAAGATATGATTTTAATTAGTCGAACCTTAAAAATTTAATTTCTTGCAAAAAGATACATTAATTAGGTAACCCAATTCTTTTGTTTTTTGTAAAACATAAAACAAAGGTAGCACTATTTGCTTGGGACGTATGACATATAAAAGCTTTAGGAATTCCAATGTTGACAAAACCACGGACTGTAGCGAATACAATTTGTATACCCTTGCAGAGGGTATTATAATTCTCGTCAAAAGTTTACAACGCAGTGAAGCAGACATTTCCGAACCTATAACGTATATATGATCAGCATCACCAGGAGAGTCGATCTAGCCATATCCGTCTGTCCGTCCGTATGTCGTTTCTACGCAAACTAGTCCTTCAGTTTTAAAGCTATCTGCTTTAAACTTTCCCAAAAGTTGTTTTTCAATTGCAGGTAGTATATTAGTCGGAACGTGCCGGACTGGCGACTATATCATATAGCTTCTATAGGAACAATCGGAAAAATAAATGTAAAAAAGTATAACTTTGTTGTTATACCCTGGCAGAGGGTATTATAATTTTGGTCAAAAGTGTGCAACGCAGTGAAGGAGACATCTCCGACCCTTCTTGATCAGGATCGCGTCCTTTTTTTTCTTTTTTCGCGCGGAGTCCCACGGCCCACTTACCCGCCCAACCGACCGAGGTCCGGGGAAAAAAGTAATAGTTATATCAATCTTGTGCCAATGAAGCAAGTATTAATCGTTTTAGGAGCGGCAGAGAGTCAAGATTTGATATTACAGGAAAAAGTCGATTATAGTCAGAACATAATACTCTGAAAGGCTCATGCAAGGCATAGTTAGATCTACAATGATTTAAAATTAATTGAATATAATTTCTAGTTAATCTACTTGGCACAGAAAAGTTTAGACGACTTAACAATTCGGGGCAGTCAATATCACCATGTATAAGGTTATAAATAAAGATAGTACCAAGCATCGTTCTACGGTTGGCTAGGGATGGTAAATTAATCAAAATAAGTCTACTAAAATAAGAAGGTTAGATAAGATTTGCATCCCAGTTTAGGCGCCGTAAAGCAAAAAGAAGTTGAGTTGATATAAGCATGTCCGTCTGTCAGCCAGTCCGCCTGTCCGTCCGTCTGTCCATTTCTACGCATACTAGTCCCTCAGTTTTAAGGCTGTTTCTGTTTGAAACTGTCCAAAAGTTGTCTTTCTATTGCAGGTAGTATATCAGTCAAAACGGGCTGGATCGGGCGACTACATTATATATAAATCGGAAAAAAATTAAAAAATGTATAATTTTTTTTTTTTTTAAATACTATGAAATTACGGTTTTAATTAAATTAAAATTGGACTTCGACATAGCTTCATGTAGTCGTTTTGTAATAACTGCAAGGGTATATAAAATTCTATATTGTCCTTTTTCACTTCTCGCGATCTCCTTTTTTACGCCCCTTGGGGCGTAACGCCACCCGTAACAAGCACTGCTTGGTGTCGTAGAGGCCACTTTTTTGCGCTGATCATAGTGCACCAACGTCCAAATACGTAAAAACCCAATAAATAAATTCAAATGCTATATTCGTACTTACCGTTCATGGGGCGTCCGATGGGACAGCTTTTCTGTGCTTCGCCAACCCAGGTACGGCTGCCGATAGGAGTTGCGTAATACACCGCTGCTGCTGGCTACGGACATGAAGCTGCTGTTGATGGGTGCGCCTCGAGCAAAGCTGCCGCGCTGTGAGGCACTGGGTGACGTCTGAGTAGAGTTTAGGTGCGAGGTGGACCAGCGCGTGGCACTCACACCCGTCTGTCCGAGCGCCTGGCCGGGACCCGCCGCAGAGCTGCATGAATAAATGCTGCTTTGACCACCGTGGTGGCTATGCGCTGAGGGGCTCATAAGTAGAGGACTTCGGTCGGAGCGCTGACATGCCAAGGAGCTTAGAGAGGTGGTCTTCGAGTTAAGTCCCTGCCAGCGCCCCGACTCCTGAGTGGGCTTGCGGGTAAAGTTGCCGGTACGGTATCCGCCGGCTGTTAAAGCCGCGGTACCATCTGGTGCCGGTCCGGATCCTTTATTGTAATGACGGAACCAGTCGGGGATATTGAGTCGCTGAAGCGATGCCTGGACCCGCAGCTGGTGCTCGCTGAGCGCTGCCGGATATTGATCGTGCGACTTCTGGAGCTCGTTTTCAGGGGGCTGTAAGTAATCGAAGAACATGAACAATAATAGGTAATTTAATTTAATAGTTTATTTTTGATAAACGTTATTTTATTTAATAAATCTTCTCTCATAAGGACTGACGACCAGTATGCAAATCTTAATCTAATATATTTATTTAATTAATTACAATTAATTATGTAGAAAATTTACGTAACTATTATTGCCGCGCAAGCCTATTTGCATCAACTTTGTCGATTTTTTTTGAACGATCTTACATTTAAGTCTTTGTAAATATTTTCATTCCGTATGTACCAATGTGCCCCAGATTATGTGTATTATTCTAAATTACTAACGCAATTGTTTTCTAGTAGCTCGGAGCCATATGTTCAAATGGGTTTGAGGACTTTATTGTACCAAGGTACTTTATACTCCAGTTTTTCTGATTAAAGAGCGTTTATAAGCCAATGAAGCCAAGATAAGTTACATCAGTTGCTTTGGGGAGAGGTATTTAGAGAGAAAATATTTGCATCCTACTCCGAAACTTCTTTGCTGAAGGTAATACTCCAATATTTTATAGGAATTATTATTTTGAATTTATAAATAAACCCGTCCAACCAAACAGGGTTAAAGCTTGTGCGACATCTAAACAAAATGCGATGCAATACTCGCGACTTTCAAATATATTTCTTATCTAGAGGGTTATTCGTTTTTCCAAATTGGTGCATTAAGATGACATTATAGAGCCCCTTTTCAAATATCTTTGGTACCTATTAAACACTGATTGCCCTATATGAGAATGGCTGGGTCTTGTCCTTTCCGGCTTTAATCATTGTGGCGACAGACTTTCTTCATTGTTGAGGATAATACCGCCATTTTATCATGCAGAGCCACAGATGAAATCGTGGCCCGGGGCTTTCTTTTTCTTTTGAGACTTTGTGAATGTTTTAACTTCTGCTTCAGGATTTTTGATTACTATGTGCCCAATGCTTTTTGAAGCTTAAAGTGGTCTCGAAACGTTATCTTGATGCAAAGCTCACTCTCCTGTTTGTGTATGTAAAGGTATAATTTGAGCTTGATTTCATTTATCTTCTAGGTCTATTTTGATACTTCAGGATGAGGTTATATCCAACCTCCGACTGTCGCAGAAACCTTCTTTTATTGCATAGCAGTTCTTAAATATGCCTAGAAGCCCGACTGCTGTTGAAAGGTTTTGTAGCTGTTGTAATTGGAGTGGAGTGTTATGCAGCCAGCGTCATAACAGACAATATTTCTTCAAATGAGCTGTCAGTGTCTTCTTTACAGAACAAGCTTGGGCATGTTTTACATACATTCTGTATTCAAGCCAATCAATTTCACACGAAGTTAGAAAACGTGAAAGCTGTGACAGATCTGTTAAATATCAGCCTGCGGTACTTTTCTTGTAACAGCAAACTTAATCAAGTCAGGCTTTTTCTTATAAGATCCTATAGGATCTGTATAGTTGTATAATTGTCGTCCTTTGGGGTTGGTGAGTAGAGATACCCAATGGGTGTGCTTTGCATTGTATTCACCAGCTGCTATAAAGCGACCACCTAATAGGTCAAGGAAATTTACAAATTCTGTTACGGAAAGGAAGAAGCGTGCTGGGGCAGTATAGCCAATTATGGCAAATTTATAGCCATAAAATAAAAATAAATCTAGTTTGTTAGATGAGTCTCTGATATAAGCATGTCGTCAATGTCATGTTGATCTAGGAACCGCAAGCTCGTATTTGTGCTGTGAAATGCCATTCTCGTTTAATTATTTGATAATCCTACCTACACAAGAATTTTTCTTTTGAGATTGCCGAATTATAAATTTAAATATATGAAGTAAAAAAAATAATTCATATAGAGAGGTAAACATCTCTGCCTCAGGGTTGCCACTTCGATGTTACAATGAAAGTTCGACAAGATTAGAGCCCGGGTTATAGTTTAGAGCCGGGCACGATTTTAATTTATAATAATTTTTACACAATGTTGGTCAAACCTTAAACATTAATGTACAATAAATGAAATTTGTGAAATTGTCGTAAGATCTTTTAAAAAAATTCACGAAAATAGCCTTTTTTTCGTGCTTTAAGACCCCGTAACCCCTTAAAGAAAAAGCGTTTTGACTATACAAAGTAAAAAGAAAACATGAAAGGAAAGCTAACTTCGGGCGGAGCCGAAGTTGATATACCCTTGCAGAATACTTGTAAATTATATTCTCCAAAATTATTCATATGATGCATTCTTAATACTCATAAAAAATCCAAACTTCCTAACTTTAAAAACACCAAAGTTATGGCATTTCCAATCGTTCAGTTATATGGCAGCTATAGGATATAGTCAACCGATCCTTATGAAATTTGGTAAGTCGGATTGATTGGCCAAAAATAAAACTCATAGGAAATCCCAACTTCCTAACTTTACAAACACGAAAGTTATGGCATTTTCGATCAATCAGTTATAGGGCACCTATAGGATATAGTCGGCCGATCCCGGCCGTTCCGACTTATATACTGCGTGCAAAGGAAAGAAGGGTGTGTGCAAAGTTTCAATTCGATAGCTTTAAAACTGAGAGACTAGTTTGCGTAGAAACAGACAGACGGACAGACGGAATTGGCTATATCAACTCAGGAGGTGATCCTGATCAAGAATATATATACTTTATAGGGTCGGAGATGTCTCCTTCACTGCGTTGCACACTTTTGACCAAAATTATAATACCCTCTGCAAGGGTATAACAACAACAATACAATTTAATAAGCAAGATCAAGACAAATCGTAAGTTAAGATTGGGAAAAGGATGCCTAAAAGCCGTTTAGCCATTCGGATTCCTTTGCGGCATTTTAAAACAACTCGCCGTTGCAAAATGCAAGGCACACAGGTCGAATTTTTGAGTGGCCAGAAAGGCGTAAATATTAAAAGATAATGTCAACCCCAGATCTCCTGAACATAGATCAAAGTAAGAAGGAATTTGGTAAGGATAATCACCTAAATGCCTGCAAAAAGGCCCTGCATGCAGCAGTTTACAAAGAACTAGCTTTAAATAGTTAAATGACTTAAAAATTCGTATTATTCAATTTGTATATTTTTTTAATTATAAACATTTTTAAAACAAAAATTGAATGAGAATTATTATAACCTTTTTAAAAGAATAAAAGACAATAAAAATTGTTAATCAATTTGTAAGTAATGTTAAAAAGATATTTTTTTCATAATGTATGTTAAACAAGAAAGAAAAGCTAACTTCGGGCGGAGCCGAAGTTGATATACCCTTGCAGAATACTCTATAATTATATTCTCCAAAATTATTCCTATGATGCATTCTTAATACTCATAAAAAATCCAAAGTTCCTATCTTTAAAAACACCAAAGTTATGGCATTTCCAATCGTTCAGTTATATGACAGCTATAGGATATAGTCGGCCGATCCTTATGAAATTTGGTAGGTCGGATTGATTGGCCAAATATAAAACCTGTAGAAAATCCCAACTTTCTAACTTTACAAACACCAAAGTTATGGCATTTCCGATCAATCAATTATATGGCAGCTATAGGATATAGTAGGTAGGTCGAATTGATTGGTCAAATATAAAACCCATAGAAAATCCCAACTTCCTAACTTTACAAAAACGAAAGTTATGGCATTTCCGATCAATCAGTTATATGGCAGCTATAGGATATAGTCGGCCGATCCCGGCCGTTCCGACTTATATACTGCGTGCAAAGGAAAGAAGGGTGTGTGCAAAGTTTCAATTCGATAGCTTTAAAACTGAGAGACTAGTTTGCGTAGACAGACGGACAGACGGACAGACAGACGGACAGACAGACGGACAGACGGACAGACGGACAGACGGACATGGCTATATCAACTCAGGAGGTGATCCTGATCAAGAATATATATACTTTATAGGGTCGGAGATGCCTCCTTCACTGCGTTGCACACTTTTGACCAAAATTATAATACCCTCTGCAAGGGTATAAAAATATACCAGATATGCCAGATATAAAGTAAAATATAGATAAGGTTTTAAGTCTGTGCTTATGAATAAATATTTTTTTTCTGGGCATGCAAACAGGCCCCAAACCATAAAGCTAGAAAAAACAATCTTGTTTACACCAGCATATGAGAGCAATTTTTTTAAGTTCGCGCAATGTTTGTGTTAATGAAAAATCGACTTACAAAAGTGTGAACACTATAAGAACTATAACAAGAAAGGAAAGTTAACGGAGCCGAAGTTGATATACCCATGCAGAATATTCTGTAAATTATATTTGTTGACCATAAAACCCATAAAAATCCCAATTTCCTAACTTTAAAAACACCAAAGTTATGGCATTTCCAAACGTTCAGTTATATGGCAGTGTTCAAGAAGAACACTAATTATCATAATGATAAGATTTTACGAGCTCTGGTTCTGTCAACATGTATATCTATCTAGAGCCGTTAATAACGATCTGTAACTTAAAACCTATAAGGGTGCAGTGCCGAACAATTGTAATCTTAAGTACAGGCCACTGGAGCCTGACCATAGTTCTCACACTGCACAAAAGGTCGCCTTGCGGGAGACCGTTGATAAGGCTCCCGCTCAGGCTTACAGATGTGGTCTCTGTGTAGACCACAGATAAGGATATTATAAGAATTTCATGTTAGTTACGTAAGCGAAGACTTAGAAAAATAAAGTCAGTTTTTATACAGAACTCAAACGTGAAGGTTGTTTTCCTTATTACAGGAATCCCTCACATTTTGGTCATTCGAGCCTTTTTTTCCTTGCGGAACAATTGGCCAGACTACTTTGCAGTTTTCCCCCACCAATGGTAAGAACCTCAGAGAAATTGTGCACCCTAAAGATTCTGTCAAGTGCTAGACACTTGCAGCTAAAGGTTGCAAATAGATTCACACGATTGTTTTCCCCACCAGTTTTAAGAGACAAAAGTGTTGAACAAAAAAAAAAGCATAAAGATAAATAAAGAGTCTTTTTTTGTTTTTTAAAGCACCTTAAAGATTCTGTTTTTTTAAAACAGCTAAAG